GGCGGCTTTTCACAGTCGATAATTGGAATGAGTGGAGTGTGTGCGGACAGACGAGCCAATAGTGTGTCGCCTTAACTCTGCACTTGTCAATATGGCGTCTCTCTATTTGCCAGCAGCAATTAGCAGCGTGCGGTCCGTCGCATTGTCCGTGCAGCCGAACCCGCGCCGAGGGTCAACCAACGCCGCTCATTAGCAACACTTGACCTTTGACAACTGGAGGCTAAAATTGGGAAGTGATACAAAACATGAGTGAAGGAGCTGAGAAGTGAAAGGACAAGAAAGCAATACAGAACCTCTTTGCAAACTCTTTCTGGTGTTCTGGAGGAGGACCCATCACTACAAATTATCCATACATATATATTTATACATTATACATTTTTACGTACATATACATGTATATTTACACATTTATAAATCTTTTGATGCTGTATAACCCACCAAGGAGCTCCCCTTTTATAAATACATGTACTTCATTAGGGGAATGATCATATTTTGCGGACAAAGAACAAATTGCATATAATTGAAACAATCAATGATCATCAAATTAACAAATTGTTCACTTTTTGGTTTAGATTTTGAATTGTACAATATGTCCACACCTTTGCATTTTTTTTTTGCATTTCTGTACAAACATCAATTTTCTCTTTCCCCTTTTCTCTCTAGAGCAATTCATAAAAGGCACTAACACTGACTTTATATACTAATTATTTCACTATTTATTTTATTTTTGACAAGCTTTTAAGGTGGCTTTTATGCCGTCTTTGCCAGGGATACTAGAATGTAGAGTAGGAAATTGGCAAGGCCTGGTCTGGGTGGAGCTGGGCCACATTAAAGGGCTGTAATTATCACGTGTTTGTGTGTGTGTAAACACGATGAAACATTGGAGCAGACAGATCTGGGCACATGCAGCTACAGTATAGAATTAAACCACTACAACTGCAAACGCTATGTTACTTTGCACTTTGTTTAGCTCCTGGATTGATACATACTGTATATCCCGTGGTTTCAAAGAGTAAATTTTTCTCATTCAATAATAGTAGACAAAGTAAATATCTCGACTTGTAGAGCAGAGAGTGAGAAAAATGGAAAAACTCATGCTTCAAGCTTTGTGAAATTTTAGTCGGCTCATCATTTGCATCCACGGCTTTAACTTTTTAGGTAGTTTGATTGTTTTTTTGTTATTTTTTTAACAGTTGTGCTATCCTCACACAGTGAAACAATAAACTAAATATGTGATGCGATCTGGGAAAACCCGTCGGATGTCGCGCTAGCACGTTCCGAGTAAACAGTGAAAATAGGTCGAGTGTCCTTTTTTTGGCTAAATTGTGTTTTCATTAAATAATTATTATATAACGTCTTGTCTTTGATTTCTGAAAATATCTAGGTGAAATTCACTAGTTTTATACATTAAAAATTGTGATATGTTTTGATAAACCGAATGTTACGTTACAGCCTCCGCTCTGACCCCGGGAGCAGCTGCAGCCGCTTTGACAGCTCAGTGAGAGCACTGCTGTAACGGGGCTCCGAGCGCGGACCATAGACAGGCGGACAGGACCATAGACAGGACCATAAACACGTGAACAGGACCATAAACACACGAACAGGACCATAGACACACGCGGACAGAACCCATAGACACGCGAACAGGACCACACGCGGATCATAGACAGTTGGACAGGACCATAGACACTCTGACAGGACCACAGACAGAACCATACACGGACAGAACCATTGACACGCGTTCAGACAATCCCCAGCTTGTTGCAAGTGCAGGTCTCCCCCGTGTCTCCAATGCGCTCACAAAATTAAACCTCGGGTACCTAATTTTATCCTTGCATTAAAAATGCTTGGTGGTTGTGGATATTTATACTGCGTGATTGGATAGAATAATACTGGCTTTGTCTAATACATATATAATGTTCAGTAACTTATAAAGAGAAAGACACTAAAAAGAGTTAGAAAGGTTTCATAAAACAAATTCAATTCATTTAATTTTGAAATCATTCTTGATTTCCATCTAATTCATGAGGTTTGTGTGTTTAATTGGTGCCAAAGTAAATTTTTTTATCTTTTACAACATAGTGACTAAAATAAGTGTGTGCCATAACAGAGTAATTCATATTAAACATGTTATATTTGATTGTGGTGATTCTATTTAGAATGTCTATCTTTAAACCTGTTTTTCTCAGAATTCTGTTTCATAAAACCATGTGAATACGCCGACTTCCGATAATGATAACTTTTGTTACAGACCTGCTATGAAAAAAAGAAAAAACAGATTTGAAAAGAGATTTAAATCAGCTTTAAGACGGTGTCAGAATCTTAAGTTGGTCAAATTTCACCATGTGATGGGTTTTCCCAGATCGCATCACATATATTTTCTTTTAAGCTAATTTTGATGATTTTTCCTACCGCCCCTGTCTCATTTAGACTCTTTGAGATCCTAATTGTTTTTGCTAGAGAGATGTCAAATTCTGCTCTTTGAGCCTTAATTTGACCCCCTGAACATGCATGAAAAGTTGTAAAATTTTGCCCAAAAATCAGACCTGGCAAAAAATGTGATATTTTGGTGTTTATTTTTATGGGACTCAAAAAATGCCAGAACAGCGCCACCTACAACAGCCAAAATAATACCCCTATGGGAGTTTTGGAGATCAAGTTGGTCGTAGAGATATGACATTCGGTACACATGTTCCTCAAGTCAGGACAAAAAATATATATTATTATGGCCCCGCCCTCTGACAAACAGGAAGCCCATTAATTTCACTGCAAAATGGAAAAAGGAAAAGCATAGTTTTCATACATGTCGGTTGGAAATCTTCTCCTCCTCGGCCGTTTCACCCATTCGCCACAAAAACGCTCCACATCATCTAGCAATAGACACGGCTTGCGGCTTTAATTTAGTGTATTTTTATACTACTTTTAAACTGAATGAACTAGGGGTGGTCAAGTTAGGAAAAATAGTCAAAATTCAGCTGAACATATTTATGTTCATTTTAAATCATTGTGACCCGAGGATAGCTAAGGGGTTAAATATGGGTTTGGGTATGCTTTAAAAATAAATCAAATATTCATAATTATCTTTTTGTTTTAGAAAGAGAATAGCTCTATCCATTAAGGCATATTAATATAGTTTTTCTTCCTGATTGTACCATCAGTTCTTTATTTGCAATTGAGATTTGTTTTTGGTGAGAGAACAATCTTGCCACACTTTCAGAGCGTGTTCAATCGCATGGTGCTGGACATCATCAGGGGAGCTGTGTAAAAGTCAACTGCATCAGTGACTGTAAATTATTGTAAGGCTACTCTATAGGCCACAGTTGCGGTAAATTAAATTTGCAACCGCCCACGTGTTAGCTAACATGCGTGTCGTGTTGAATGCCATCACACCCATATCTCATGTTAACCAGTGCTATGTTTTCCATAGGCTTTGACCTCGCCATCTTTAACAGCTGACATAATGAGCTTTTATTGAATTAATGTGTCAAAATAAGGTTTACAGTTCTTTGTGCCAGTATAGTGTCATCACCCATGAACATGTTTGTCTTCTTACAGTGTTGCCATTATTGTCAATGTATTTGTTTTATTAAGATTCCCCATTAGATTTCTTAAAATACCTAGAAATAATATAAAATAATCTGGATGCATCTACCTATCTATAGAACAAGGGGGGTCTGTATCTTCTCTTGCTAATGGTTTGTCCATTCAACCCAGTTTTGGATTCCATTTGAGGATGATTGTATGTGTCACCAAAGTGTGCAAACCCTCACCCTGCAGGGAAATCTACAACTACAACTACAGTTTTTAATGGCGGTTAGTGTGTGTTGCCATGTGTGATTTGTCTGGAAACAGACCAACATTTCTGGCAAGGTTTCATGATGGAAAGAATAGCTAAGTGTGAGCTGTCTGCACGGACAGTGACGCTGTCTGTCATGGACTCAGATACATGAAGAACGTTTGGCAGACAATTCTGCAAGTAAGACTCTGTAAAGAAGAAACTCCTCATGCTGGAGCATACACTGACGGTGCGGGGCCTCAGGCAATCCCGTTGGACTTAGACGGTGCATAAAACCATGTTACACTGATCTCAGAGCACCGACTCTGCAGCAGCTCTGCTCTGGTCTTCTGGTGATTCAAAAGTGTCCTCATGTTGTCACCTGTAGACCTGCGTAGCTTTGGCCAAAACCAACGAACCGGAGTGAGGAAGATGCTTTGTGCCATCAGGAAATGTGTCCTTTTTTATTTAACATGTATTTAACCAGGAAAGTCCCATTGAGAATAAGAACGTCTTTTTCAAGAGAAGGAAAAAGTTACAGATCATAAAAACTGTTGTATGTCAATGAGGATGTCTCAAGTGCTCTTAATCTTTACTTCAAAGCATTCAATGAAAAAGTTCAGTCAAATGAAATAAGTTCAGTCCTGCACATCAAAAGCAGACCCACAAATACAAATGCAACCTTGCTTGGTGTGAAAACAGACTTTTTCACAGAGGAGATTTATGGTGATTTCACACTCCACTGCGTACACCGCACGGACACTGCACCAGTTAAATAAATAGATCTAAACTATTCAAAAACGGCCTATTTAAATCAAGAAATACTGTTTCTTACCATTCCCTTTCATCACACTATAGACACAGTTTATTTCCATAAATTTAAGGTGAAGTAATCTAATGGACATGTTTGGAATAAAGACTTTGTGAGTCAGAACAATTGAGCTTACATTTTGTGATTAAAGACACTAAACATTAACTGTGACATGCCTGTTGTATCCACTATTACAACACAAGGAGACACAAAGAGAAAAGAGAAAAAATTGTCACTGCAATTCTCAAAGGAGCATTATAAAGTGGCAAAGGTATTCATAGCAACACTTTGATGTCACATATCAGCTTGCATAGACATTTCAACAAATAGCATCTCAGAGTCCCTCCCTGCACATGCCGCTGTAACATGGCTACGATGTGTTCTTCAGCAGCTGTGTGTCCCTGCCTTTTTACACTAATGACTTTTGTCACCACAAACGCAGGCTTCCTCTCTCATCTCCCCGTGCAGCAGGGAGCAGCGGGGAGCGGCCTGTTTGGAAGATGCTGAGTTCAACTCAAATGAGGCTTTGGGCTGCTCCCTGGTCCCAGCGCGCAGCAGGACAGAGCTCATGTTAAAACTAAGCAGATTAGAATTGCATTTTAACAAGCAATGACCAAATGGTGTTCTATTGCATATTTGGGAAGTAATTGGAGTATAATATACAGTGTGTAATCAAATCAAAACTCAAACTTTATTTATAAAGCGTTTTTCATACAATAAAATGCAACACAAAGTGCTTTAAGGCTTAGTCAAAATCAATACAACATGCCTTATAAACCCCACCGCCCCACAGACCCACCCATAAACCATCCTAATTATTAGATATACATCCAGATGCACATACCCGTACACACACATACACACACACACACAGACATATATAATCATTCGGATACCGGATATTCATGTGATTCGGCAGTTCAGCTCTCCAGATATATTTTTTTCTTTTCCTAAGTTGAGCTGTAGATACTGTATGTGTAGATCGCTAGCCGCTTGGAATTTCTGTGGTATCAAGGTAAACTAATTCCCAACTTTTGAGTCACATGTTCAAAATGCTCAAAACATACACATGCATATTGTTCATGTAGACCTAGATTACTATATTTGTTGTGTGGATGCCATGCTGTGAGTGACTGGACACACAATCAGCAGGAGGGCCAAACTCATACTGTAGCTTCACTGTACGATGGATCTTTCTTCACCCCCCTCCCCTTCTCTGTGGTCTGACGCTGGCCGAGCCTCCGAGCGGCCGTCATGTCTGTGTTAGCGAGCGCCTTCAGAGCACTCTGAAAGTCTCCGCCGCTGCTGTCACAGTGCATTTCACACAGCGCTGGGACAACACGGAGCTGAGATGACAGGTCCAGAGTGTGAGGGGAGGAGTAAATGGAGTGGTCAGTGGCCCATTAGAGCCGCTCAGAATGAGAGTTCACAAACGTGCTTGTCACAATGCGTCAGAGCATGCTTAGTCACCACGGTTACGGGGGGTGGGATTTGGCCCAGGGTCGGGTCGAGTCAAACAGCTGAGTGTTACAAATGACTTCTTTACTCTGAGCAGGTATTTATATAACAATGCACTTAACTGAAATCCAGTCCAAGTCCAAGTCTGACCCGGCCCATCAGCAGAGTGGGGGAATGCGGCCCTAAAGTCATATACTTTGGGATTATCGGATGGTGCAGGAATAATCCACTGTAAAACACTTTTGTGTGAAACAGATTCTCAGTTGCAGTGCCAGCATGATTATATGATTCATTATACAATTATAATAACAGTCATGCAGGGGGAAAAGTATGTATTTTCCCCCGTGTGAACACATCTGTATATTTGCATTTGTTCAAAAATATATGTATTAGTCTACCCCTTTCACCACTTTCACTTAAAATAAACACTGGAACCCTCTCTTCCAAAGATTCTGAAAAATGCATAAAAAGTGGATCAGACACTTCAGGAAGAGATCTCAAATTACACCCATATTATATGATATCATTACTCGCTCACAATTGGGCGACAGTAGCAGTTGGTAGAGCATTGGCCTTAAGCCCAGAAGGTCGTGGGTTCAATTCCCACCTCTGCACCTTCTCCACCGACTCCCACTGATGACTGCTGTCGTTGTGTCCTTGGGCAAGACACTTAACCCCACTTTGCCCAGAGCCCCCACTGAAAGATCAAGGCTATGCTCACACTCAGAGAGCAGCCGTCCTCCTGTGGACTCACCACCTGCAGAGGGTCAGTGAGGGGCTGGTGCTATGAGACTTGGGTGGCATCTCTGACTGCCACCCCCCTGACCCAGAAATGGATTAAAGGGTAGAAAATGGATGGATGGATGGAGTTGAGTATGTGTGAAGAAAGTCTAAAAAATTAGCAAGACACTTAACCTCTGGGAACACCAGCCACAGTGGGGCGGCTGCGGCTGTAAAGTGCCAAACTGCTGTTGTGTCCTTAGGCAAGACACTTCACCCCCATTGCCTAGAATGAGTCTGGTGTGTGTATGAATGGTTGGTGGTGGTCGGAGGGGCCGATGGCGCATACTGGTTGCCTCGCTTCTGTCAGTGTGCCCCAGGGCAGCTGTGGCTACATTAGTAGTTTATCACCACCGTGTATGGAGTGAATGAATAATGACACATGTGAAGCGTCTTTGAGTGTCCAAAAAAGCGCTATATAAAATCGATGCATTATTATTATTATTATTATTAATTCAGACAGATTGACTTTAAAATACACACACTCTAATAGGAGGTGCTTCAAATTGCTGAATATATTTCTATTTCTGATTTACTTGTGCCTTTACAAGTTGATCCTGTTAGTTCAACTTGTGCAGCCTCTCATCCTCAAAACTCAACCATGTACCGTAAATTCTGGACTATAAGCCGCAGCTTTTGTCCTTCGCTTTTTCTGTAGACCGACATAATTGATGAGTTGTTTATAGAGGTCAAATTAAATTGTATTTTATGTCAATCAGTCATTTGTATCCACCATTGTCAACATGGAATGTACTAGAAGAAAAGTGTGATCATGATAATTATTATACTTTGATAATTACCAAAATGAACGCATTGAATATATAAAAGCCACAGGCAATGTGAGAAAAAATATTAATAACATGTATTTTTGGTTTGTTACCAAGCAGATTAAATACAGTTTAAAAGTCCTCACAATAACTTTGTGTAAATATCTCATAACATGTTTTTTTTTTTTGGGTTCTCTGTATAGAAAGATTAAGAACAATCAGTGACTAATTATTGAATATTATAACATGGGACACGTGCGGATTAAAATCGAGTACGGCTTATAGTTTGTAAATTATGGTAGCTATTCCTTGTGTAAAACGGGACGTAGGAGAAGCAGTTTTCACCCATTATGCTCCTTGTAAATGAACCGCTCTGCTAAATGGCATCAAATATGCTCAAGAAGAAATAAAAGCCAAACATTTATTCTTCTGGTTATCAGCCCGCTAAACACAAGCAGTTTTTTGTGGTCTTTGGGGAAAATACCCATGGCTGAAGCAAACAACACCCTATCCAGGTTTTGTAGTAGATCCATGGCACCAATGCACAAGTGTTTCTCCATCACATTCCCAAGAAAAGAAAAGACATCAGACCGGTGAGAGATTGATGGAGCGCCCCTGCGGGTTTGGGGCTGATTTGCAGTTGGGTCACACGTCTCTCTCGTGTCCGCGCTGCCATTGACTTACTGACACTGACACTGGGGCTGTGTGTTTGCTCAGCAGAGGAGGGAGAGGGAAGGAGTGGGCAGCAGCAGCAGAATCAAAGCGTTTGTCTGAAGAGGAGGATTAAGGGCAGACGTGAGCAGGCGTTAAAGGGCCGGGCCATGATAATGCGGAAAGGATGCTGAGGTTGAAATAATACAAATATAATGATATAGTGTGTTATTATACCAGGGTCAGTGGAGACGTAATCCTTCATGGTCTATTAAGTTCTGCCATGAATAATATTGAAAATAGCTTGACAATTATCAATGAACAGCACATTTTATGCTTAATTCTACTTAATTATGCTAAAGTTGGAGATTTTAGACTTACTTCCTTATTATGCTAAAGAGATGTGATTTTATTTAATTTTGTTTTTGTTTTTGTTCATTCATCTAAAATAAAGGATATTAATTGTAATAAAGCAGACATGGATGGGCCCAAAATTGTTATGGGGTCTTTCTACCATCATATCCATTCTTCCCACCAAATTTCAGCTCAATCTGTCCATTTTTTTATTGCTAAATTCTGCCTATTGACAAACAGAGAAAGACTCACACACAACATAATAAGCTCAAATTTTGTAATGTGAAACCCCACTTCCATGCCTTATTATTATTATAACGTTATTATTTTCCCCTGTGTGTTCACATCACTTGGAGCCACTTGACTGAGAACCACACCAGTCCAACACCACTTCTTCAAAAAGGAAATTGGAAGTGATTTTTGTTATTTTCGATCATCAAAACAGGTTATTCCACTAGCTAAGGTTTCCACTTGTACAGAAATGTTCCTCTCAAAAGATAATAGGTACACATGGCATTTCAATATCCTTTCACTCAGTACATTTTTGCACACATTACTGTAAATGTTGTCATGTCCCTCTACGGAAAGTGGTCTCCAACCTATAGCTTGGGAGCCACCGGTAGCTCGCCACCCTCTTCCAGGTAGCTCGCCAAAAGATTCAGAGATAAACAAAACAAATGGTATACTTAATTTAGATTGTAAATATTATTGTAAATGCACTTACTTTTTGCACTGGTAACAAACATGCAATGATAAATATCAGTGGCTCAGTTGGTGGAGCATTGGCCTTTAGGTCTGAACGTCGTGGTTTCGATCCCCCCACAAGACCTGCTCCTACTTCTCCCTCTGATGTCTGCTGTCGTTGTGTCCTTGGGCAACGACAGCAGACATGACCCAGAAATGGACTAATAAAGGGGCTGAAAATGAACGAATGAATGAATGAAATAATGACTGTACCCAATATCAGGCTTGTTCACACCAAATATATCACCACAAGGAGTCTCTGCCTTTATCGTCCCTGGAGAGTAGCTCTGTGGGTGAAAAAGGTTGGCGACACCTATGGTGAGGGCAGGTGTGGCCACAGGTTTTCACACCAAACAGTGCACGTCAGACTTCACTCATTTTATCATCCAAAATGAATCCAAGTCTAAACCTGAAGACTTGATACAACGCATGGAGTCTCGAGTGCTTTTGCTTGCTTGGAATGGAAAACCTGCAGCCACACAGCTCTTTCTGGAACAAGTCTGACATCCCTGCTCTACGCTAACGTTAGCTCCCTCCGCTCCGCTCTCTTAATTCCTCATCAGACAGTTTGGCTCAGCGCGTTGGACTCCTCCACAGGGGAATGACTTCTGTATTTATGCTTTACAGCCTGTGGGGATTTTCTCCAAGGTCAGTACTATATTACCCATTTGGACCAGTGAGCCGTGCACTCCGTTTAGAAGAGCCTGCTTTTAATGCAGAGAAGTGATTGATTAAGCCTCAGCTGTGTTTCTTTCTCTCTCTCTCCTTGAAAGATGCAATATGTATGTATGGGGCTGCATATGCGATCGATGCTTGGACTCTCGGCTCTATAATTACCTCATTGGGAGAGGGGAAGCCTGCGGGTGTGGGGAGGTGTGTGCGCGTTCGCCGTTACAGACGGTTGTGTAACAGAGTGCTCCGTAAGGCTCTTCATCAGAATCAGATCAATGTGGATATAGAGGAGTGAAAAGCGGAAGGGGAGGGGTTGGGTTCGTTTTCACGTAAGCTGACTTCTGCTGAGCGAGGGAGTATGTGACTGGAGAGGATTGACTCTAGGCTTAGTGTGGGCAAACTCACCACTGCCTGAAGAAAGCGTTGTTAGTTTAAGCACAGTTGTACACTTACTATTTGTTCCATTTTCCCTTGAAGATGATTACAATAACTTTGCAGTGGTTGATAACACTGACAGTACCGCATCTTTAATCATGAACAAGGCTTTGCGTAGAATGAATCTTTCCATTCACACATGGTGGTGGTTAGAAATCCTCGGTTCAGCCTGACAGGGGCGAGAAGAAGGCTGCTACTCTGCGCTATAATCTGGTCTGGGTGGGTTTCCCCTGGAGGCTCTGGTTCATTAAGATTAAGATTAAGAGATCCTTTATTCGTCCCACGTGGGGAAATGTCAGTGTTGCATCACAAGTTACAATACAGTAGGAGAAGTTGGAGCGCACAAGATAAGAAAAAAAACATATACATTTTAGCACAACTCAATAATTAGAACAATCTCTGTCTTTAGCTTAATAAAGAAACACACAAGGTAAAAATCTGTATACTCAAGTTCAAAG